GACGGGGCCTCTTGTTAGCGCAGGCCCCGAGATAGGCGCATTGACTGTGCAAAGAGAGCGCGCGCTAGTTCTCCTCACGATAACTGGCGCACGAAAGCCAACGTTGTTCTTCGCTGATCGTAAAAATGCATTCTCATGGGGAGGGTCCAAGATTATTGCACAGCCCTAGTATTGTAGAACTGTTTTAGCTTTCAGGCCTGCTCATACCGAGGGGAGATATAGTTTAGTTCCTGGGCCTTGCATGTCGCGGTTCAATTTCCGCCTTGCACGTCGCGGGTAAGGGCATGTCTCCGTGCGAGCGCTTTATTTGATTTATGTCGTGTTGCAATCAACTTGTGCCAAGGCGTCCATTTGTTTTCCAACACGCAAAAGTTACCTTTTTCAGATCAGGAAAAGGCGAAAATTAACCTTGTTTTGGGACCGGAGTGGGGCGATAAGAGAAAGGCTGCCAGGATATATCGAACATGGCACAGTACACTTCGACCAATCCCATCCAGAATAATCAGAAAATACGAAACGCTAAATCAGAGAGAAAGCTTCACGAAGAAGCGGAAGAAACCTCGTGCTTTAAGCAACGTCCTCCGCACAGACATTTTGGCTTACATGGCAGCTCATCCTTACGCTAGCGTGCGTGATATGAGCGCTGATGTAGCGGTATTAAGATCGTCCGTCTGGAGGATTTCGAACGAATCTAAGCTTCACCTTTACCACATTCAGCTCCATCAAGAGTTGCAGGCTAGTAACTCCCAAAGCAGAGTTAGCATCGCTAACAGGATTCCAATTTAATCTTAAAAAGAACAAGACCGTTTCAACGACGTGCAGCGAACAGATGATGTAGACTTTTCACGAAACAACCAAGTAGAGCTCCACAACGCCCATTACTGGAGCGAGAAAAATCCCCACCGGCTGGCGTAGTCCCGACATCAGTACCAGTGGTCCCTTAATGCCCGGTGTGGGATCTTCCACAACACCATCGCTTGTCCCGTCTTTTTTAACCTGACGCTAACTGGAAAACGCTATGTGAACGAAATCGTTGCAGGTTCAGCGGATGACTTTCGCTGTAGTCTGCCGTTGGCACGCCCTCTACACATGCTGTTTTAGCACGACGGTGCCCCTGTTCACACCTGAAGCCAGCCTCAAGCCTGGCTCAGCGGAGCCTTGCATGAACAGTGTGTCGGGCAGTACGGGACCGTGCCATGGCCTGCTAGGTCACCGGAGATGACCCCCCTTGATGTATTCTAGTGGAAGTACGGGAAAGACCCTGTCTACAGCACTGACCCCACAACGCGAAGCGCATTGAAGGTAGAAATTACGCGAATTTGCCGCAATATTCCAGCGAGTATAATACGGAGTGCAAAAGCGGACACGATTAAAACATGAGTGCTGCGCCGCTTCAGGTGGGGACCTATTTGGGCACATTCTGTAGGCAGCCAACACTGTTTTAAAAAAGCGGCTTTGAACCAGTGTCACTTTAACGCGGTCTCGATGTCATTATTTTGACTAAATCTCCCCGTGAGAAGGATGTCAACATCAAAGACGGCGCTGCTTTTTTGTCTTTGTTATTAAGGCGAAAGTTTTATTGTGTCATCTTTCAGTCGACCTTCAAAGTCTTTGAGCAAAAACACGTCGACGACACGAAAACCATGAAAACGCGCCAAAACTGCGTCAACAGTACATCGTCAAACAGCGCGCTGTCTTCGGAGCTTCGCTATCACGTTTACATCGGCGCTCGAGCTTTCGCCTTCGAGTCGTCTTATGAATAACATAAGAGTCCCTGTGACTTTTCTCGGTAAGACACGTTGCGCCTCTTATGCTTGTTTTTTCAGACGCATTTTTGTTTATTACTTTATCTTTTTATGACCAAATAAAGTCACCATTTTCTTCGGTTGTCTCCAGCGAACACGTCATCACGGGTTGAAGTCGCGCACACTCACTTTCTACCTTTCCACAATGGGGCAGCAATTTACACCTTGGCTCTTAAATGAGTGATTATAAATTAGCTAAATATTCCTGATTAAGTAAAGCACAAGGCGCACTTTAAAAATGGTACACTTTCCCAAGAAGTTATCCAACGACACGACATATACAGTTGATTTCATTCTCGCTAAGTGGTACGGTTTTATTTCTTTATTTTTTGGCAATCTTTGGCGCCATTTATCGGGGACACTTTGTATATACTCCGCAATTAAAAAGAAGGACGACAAAAACGTTTGTTATCCGAAATAGAACATCGCTCTATATATGTCGCGTGAGCAGTTGGTGTGGTTTACACAATTCAAGTATCCTGTGGAAAAATTTATATCGACGCTTCCCAGCAGCTGTGCATGGCGCCGCCATAACCGACCTTCTGCGTTTGCTTCTACTGTTTGCGTTTACTTCACTTCTTCCACCAATGATTCACCAATTGACCACATCAGGAATGGTTATTGCCATGTTACTTTCTCCTTTGTTCATCTCCCTAGCCTTGGCCTTTGTGGAGGCCTGTCAACGCCCGCGTCAATGGCTAGGCATCTCGGTAAGACAAGAGAAGGTCACCAATGGCGGATGTGTAAAGCGTCGATTGGTCAAACGGGCAGATGTGTAAACGCCTAGGCTCATGAGCACTCTCTTTCTTTACGGAGCGCTGCGTCGGGAAATCTCGGGTTACTTTGTTATGAATAGGGCTCTACTCCACACTTATATTAGTATGTTCAAATACTGTCTAAACATCACAAAAAGACGGCTAGAGTAATTTGGGTTGCTTGTTGAACCTGTGTTTTGTGTTTAGTCTAGAATTCTGGACGAGAGGTTTGTGTAGGCGTTGAATCAATTAACCCTTCTGGTGGTGCATTATATCTTATTAATCGGACTGACAGATTTTTGTGGCCGTGACTGACTGTGCTGAAAAAAGGCCCTGTACAGTTTTGTTCTGAAACCTTTTGCTTCTTTTTTCTGTCAATCTATTTTGCTCTAAAAGAAATGACAGTCTTGTTAGTCAGTGCTATAGTTGTTTTTTGTCTTCTCGTCCTTGTGTGCATTTTTGCTCTGTTTTTATTTCTTCGATCATGCACCGATTCGCCCATCTTCGCCCCATACTACAGTTCCTTATAAATAAATACGCTCGTGTTAAAATAAAACTCCCTGTATGTCAAGCGTAAAAAATTCTAAATAGTGAAAACCTGCAGATTGCGCTAATAGTAGGCAAGAGCGCAGCTTGCGAGAGTGATAAGGCTTCTCTCCTGGACAAACATAACTACGTGTTACTGAAGCTTGACCTCCAACCCTACATGAGTGTCAGGCTGGCGTCTTTATCTGGCTAACACAAAATAGCATCAGATTTATAAAAATTCTCGTATATTGCTTCTTTATTTTAGTAGCCGAATCGATTAAAAAGATTGAGTAAACTGAATTTTGTTTTTCAGGAGCGATATGCTCATGAAAACGAATATTTCAAAAATTTTTAACGAGAGGACCAGGAATCAATGAGAAACTGAACTAATGACTACCGTATTCTGCCATACTTGGTTTAAGGCTTCAAAGGACACAGAGGGGACTATTTTTTAGATAAGTATAGTGTCATAATATCAATAAATTTAAAAACACCCAGATTCAAATTCCAACTGGTTTAATCATGACATCAGAGGGAACAATACGTCATAAAGATATTTGTAAAGTGCACAATTAGCCAGCCATTTCATGATCTTGCCGTGTGCTGAACAGCGGAACATTCTAGCGCAGACCCATTAATAGTTCCCAGGAAAACAAAATGTGCACGGAAGCTTTACTTAGTTCTACTAAATTTGCAATTTATGATGTTGGTATTAGAGTTAAGCCTGTTGACTCTTACAAGTCTCCATAATATCTGTAATATCATAAAAAGACTTATTGTGTAATAAACATAACTTATTTTGGGATATATATATATATATATGCGGCAAACAATGTAAAAAAACTCTATATTATTTTAAAATTATTGAAGGGTAACAAATTGTTAGTGTACTTCCATAAATGAAACATAAACAGACACTTTTGGAAAACACGAAGTTCAGAGTGCCTCAAGATAGATTATTATTGACATACTACTTACGGTAATGACCGATGATGTTTTTTTTGCGGTTATTAAAAAACAAGCTCACTTAGCATTATTGAACATCACTAACACCTCTTGGATAGCGAAACCGTAGACTTGAATTGTCTACGCCTCCCATCAAACGCCGTCGTGGAGCAGAGATGAAACCAATAATTAAACACGAGTACTAACTGAACGGCTGCGCAATCGTTCTGCCCAACCGGTTTTGCGCCCGCCCAGAGTAAGTGATGAGGAAAAACCAGTACGACAACCTTGTTATATGGAGGTGTTGACGTCATTTCATATTCACTGCTCGACTTCATTGATTCGACTGTCGAAAGTTGCTTTTTCGGTTGTGTCAATACTAGAAAAATGGTACTTTTCTCTTCGAACATATACTAACCAGCTTAGGTTTTAATTTTATGCCCTCATTTGTTTATTATAGTCCAACACGCTAGCTAGCACGTAAGCGTCTGTTCACAAAGCATCCTGTGACAATGTTTCACTAAGTTACGTCAACGCATAGCTAAAGCAAAGCGTTGACGAGTATTTGCGGGTGGTGGTGCTGTGCGACAAGTTACACCTTGGATAGGTTGGAAGGCCTCAGAGAAATCACGGTTGTCTCGGTAACAAACATACGTGTCTTTATATAAGTATCCGCCTTATTGCGATCTCGAAACTCAGATTACTGAAAATGTCATACACGATCTAATAAGACTCCAAAAGCTGTCAGTGTTAAAATTTTAGAACATGCTGCGTATAATATTTTGTACTCAGTTCCATAAACATATTTGGGGCGCAAAGCGTAATGGAGGTTCTGTGGAATGACCATGACAAATACAGAAGCGCTTATATGCACTAGTATATATAGTATCAACTAAACTTACAACAGTTCCAAATTAACAGGTTTGTCAGAAACAAACCAATGAGTTGTACTCAAAAATATACATACCTCTCGCAGTGGCATTTTGAATTAAAGCCCACAAAGCGCATAGAAACACATACCGCATCATTTTCTTCTCTATAAGGTGTTAGCTGTTTGACTATGAGCTTTTACAGAAAATGAACATCCTGATAGTACAATGGATTGACCTTCAGTAGTGACATTTTTATTTTCTAGTGCTAAAGGGCACCAAAAAATAAAGTTAAAATTCTAAAAGAACACAAAGGGTGTTATTTAAAGGGCAACTCCGCTTCATTTTTGATATTTAGAAAACTATGTAGCCCTCTTCAGTATGATATAGAAAGACCCCACGTCAAATATTAGGATCTCATTCCGTTTATTTATTTAAAAAAAATGGCCAGCAAACCTTCAAGCGAGCCAAGTCGCCGAAATCTGCCAACTTTAGCGTGCGGCGCGAGGCGCAATCATCAGCGCAGTCAATGCCACGGAGTTGGAGCGGCCAACGTTGAGCCACTACGTCAGAGGCATGACACGTCATTCTCACGTTTTGCTTGTTTTTACTTCTCAGAGCGAAATAGAACGATGACTTCATGAGTTTCTCCTCCCGGTGTTGGCTGACCGGGCGTTCACGTGATCACCGTAACACGGATGCGCTACTTTGCGCTGCCCTGCGCGCTTACCCGTCTGTTTCTCCGCTCCCCTTCTCTTTCGTCTTCTCCCCTTCCCCCTCTCCCCCAGGCCATCACCGTCCACGCCACGTGAAGCGACCTGCCCGCGTCCAATAAAAAAAAAACAAAAAAACCTGCCCGCGTCGCGTGTTCTGTTTCTCGCTCCCTCCCGAACGTCACAAGACCACGTGGTTTGACGTGACGTGCCATGCCTCTGACGACCCGAGACCGATGTTGCCTGACGCAACCGAAGTTTCGGTTTCGGTATCTGCTGGTTTAAATTAGGATTACACAAATAATATTCCACATTTCGCGAATCCGAAGACGTAGAGTTGTTTAGTAGTGCTTTGTAAATGTGAATCACATGGAAGCCTAAATTTTTCGGAATTGAGCGGAGTTGCCGTATAATGGTCAACGGGCAATTCTGACGTTCTTGAAAGTTTTTTTTATTTTACCCTAGATTTGTACTTAGTTGACGCACTATGAGATATTTGCTTTAGGATCTTTGTTTTTGTAGTGTGGTTTCATTTGATATCGAGCATGCGTATTCGAGGTGGGTATTTTGATTATCTCAAAAATATATACTTATCCCCATCTCGCAAATTAACAAAACCACTCCGCTTTTTTTAATTTCTCCACAAAACAATTTCACTGGAGCTAGTTAAAAAGCTACGTTTAGGCTTTTTTTTACTCAGTTCTGGCAGTTCTGATAAGAGGGTGAACGGAAATCACCCACAGTAATTAATCTTGTTATTATTAGTCGCGTAGAATTTTTTTTTCGTTTGACGAAACCGCTTCAACACAATTCATGTCAGAAATAAAAAAAAAATAAAAAAAACATCGCATCTTTCATCTTTCGGTGCCAAATCTGGAGCCTTGAATCTTCAGATTCATTGTAAATTTTGCTTCATAAATACCATATGCCTGTATGCCTATACATATGCTATCGGCTGTTACCATTTTAGATTAATTTACTTCAGGAAATATTAGCTATAAATTTTCAAATTGTTTCGAAAAGTTAATGTAGCCATACTATCAGCCAATTTTATCTAAAATAAAGCAATCAGGATTATCCTTGTGCAGCTCTCGGTGGCTAAGTTCATAGTCTAGAGGCTAACTTTCCCTGTGCTGTAAAAATGGCACACATTTTGCACACCAAATGGGTTGCACTTCTGTCCATTCTCGGAGCAAGCACATTTATTATTCGTGGATTAATTGGGAATTACTCTAAGCTGGCAGACGTAAATATCTAAAGCTGGCACGTATTCCGTCTGAGGAAAGTCTTGGCGAAATCTTGACGCACATTGTGTCATAATTCAGAACACCCGAAGCAGGAGATTTAAGCTGGGAAGTCTAAGCTATTTGGTTTTGACTAATCGGCAGTAACTAATCTCCAAAAATATTTCAACTGAATTCAATTTCTGGCTTCTCATACAATCTTTTTCACCTTTGACTGTTTGATTTTTTGTTATACGCTCACAAGAATCTCCGTGGAGTCGTGTTTAGACCTCCGCCGAGAATTAGTTCCTTAACCTCCCTGAGCATATCATGCTTGGAAACTTAACTTGGGCGAGAATTTTTGCTCAACCTACTGGCACAGCGCGCCGTGGTTTCAGCCAGGCGTGCGAAGCAATTCTGGTCAAAGCACGTCAGAGCAGCGCTGGGAATGGCAAGGTTGACCTCAGAAGATTCGCGTCGAAGAGTTTTCACGTAGAGGGGAAACATACACTTCGATGAATCTTTTTTATATCAACCATTGAAAAAAAAATGAAACAAATTTGTGAATGACAGCCATTGATAAAACTGGACAGAAGTAAATTCGAATGTACAAAGCTTTAGAATTGCGATGTACACAAAGCTCTAGCATTTTCGGTTTTGAGAGAATGTCGTTTTTAAAGCGTAGGGCTTGGTTACTCATCTTATTTCTGTGTTTCGCGAGCCTTTATATTTCTTGCATTGTAAAAAAACCCTTATTTTGCCGAAATGAGACTTTGCTGCAGTTGTCTGGAACAACCTTAAGGCCACTGCCGCACCCACGTTAGAGCGTGTTCAAAAATGATTTGCACGTACGTATCACGCAAGACAACACTTCTCCGAGCTCCACTTATATGTGAATGTGCTCAATCGCTTAGGATTGGTTTAGTTAAAACAAGACGCGGCAGATGTGATCTCATATTTTTGTTCAAGTGTTTGCATGGGTATTATTACTGTCCTTTCCCAGGCAGCACACCAATTTTGGTCCGACATTGGCCTAACATTCGCAAACACCGGCCTCAATATTGTTATCGCTACTCCATCCAACGTTGGCCCAGTCATCAATGCCCATGTTGGGCCACTGTTCAGCCATCGTTCGAGCCAATATCGGCCCCATCGTTGGTGCCAATGTTGGGCCATTTCTAAACCATGGTTTCAGTCAATGGTTGTCCCACATTGGTAAAGACCGGCGTAATATTGGACAATACTGAAAGTGCGACCCGATCCAATGTTGGCCGTCATTGGTGCTGATTTTTGGCCATCGTTGCACTCGCCCAGCTGTTTGCAAGTGCACTCGCCAAGTTGTTTGCAAAAAGGAAGGTACACAGACACCAAGGCATTTTTTTTTAAAACTCCTAAAAGTTTATTACACACAGCCTATTCTGTAGACAAGTACAAACTAAGCAATTTGTAATATGTGCATGAAGAGGGACTACTCAGCTGTTATACAACTGAGAAGATTGCAAAGCAAACAACAACAGGGGTAATTGTTGGGTAGTGTCCAGTCTCCCGACAGCTGGCAGAATTTTTTTCCCTACCGGTAGTCGCCCCTCATTGGCCGTTCAGTGAGTTCATCGAACGACATTTCATCGACAGATCGTTTCATCAACACGCGATGCTTCATAAAAAACTCAGAATAGCATTTTTGTTTTCTTTTGCAAAGAATTGTTGCAGACTTACCATGAAACGGCGTGAAAGGGTGGGCTGGTTCAGTAAGTACGCGCCCCAGGAATACAGACGCTTTGAAATGTCCCCTACAGCGTGCAATTCGTGTAACAAATGTCGATGAAACGTGAATGTCGACGCAACGTGTATTAAAAAAAAAGGTGGCCACGAAACGTGTTTTGGCGAAGCGCAGGGTGAATAAGGAAGTCAGTATTCTACTTGCAGTTGTGACATTATTTCAGACAGATAATTGCAGGTGACTGTCGGTAAGATTGCGGGAAACTTATTCTCCAAGGTGCCAGGAGATAGGCACTGCCTAATTCTAGAGGTTATCCGGAAGAGTACCCATACAAGAACAGACAGTGATCACCAAGTAGGTTGCAGCGCACTTACGTTGAAAGTACCGGACTTGAAAGATGTAATCCGAGGTAGATGTCCACACGGGCACGGCAGACCAACCACTCATAACACAAATACTAGAAGGAAGCGATCCGTGAAGATTCAACAGGATATAGCACAGGCTGCCATTTGCCGAACCGAACACTTAACCATTCACAAGAATGTCTCGCGCTTCTTTGAAGAAATAGATACGTATAGGACTTTTCGAACGAGATACCATTTGCCACAGAAGCGAAATCCACAGCAGGCCCGCACGCCGCACCGCACGCGAAACTAGGTCCGGTCTTCGCAGGCATTCCGGGTTTGTAACAGCTAATGTGTCATCTGTTAAACCACGTGATCACGCTTCTGCCCTTTCCCGCGCACAGAGAGCGGTTTCAGGCGATAAAAAGTATACGGTTCATTGGTCCGGCGAGTACGCATCGTCTACCACGCCTTCGGCTTAGGGAGAGCGAGAAAACGAGAGAAGGAGTAGAAAGGAAGCAGGCCAGGGGCTCTAAGCTGGTGGCTTGGCGAAAACGACGGCAAGACATTTGGCGGCCGCGATTGGCCAACGCCACACTTGACCTTGACGCCGGCCAATCATAGCCGCAGAATTTCTCGCCGACTTTTCCGCCAAGTGTCCAGATTAGGGCCCCAGAACGGGGGTACGCTTACAAAGGCGAATCTTCAGGGGCATCTCAACAATGAACACAGCGAGGGGATTTGTCAACCATTTCGTCGTTTACCCTGAGACTGGGTTTTTTTTTTAGAAGAGCAGAAGTAACAGAAAAAACAGACAGGTCTCAATCTGTTTGTCACTTGTACCCAAGGCTGATAGTGCAGTGGATGCTGTGCGTGGCCTTGGGCTGGCAGGTTAAGTGCTCGGCCTTATCACCAGCTTCGAGACTGTAGTCACCATACCCTAACCGGAGACACGATTGGCCTAAAACACGCATAGCGTCTACCCTGCTGTCAATACCGATTGAACGGGACAGCTCCTGAAGGCCAGCTTTTGAACATCTAAAGAAGCTGTCCAGTCTAAAAGTGATTCTAAACGGGGCAAGTTTGAAGACACTATGTTTTACGTCGTACAACCCACATTGTTATTTAGAATGAAGAACTTAGCGCGACTATTTTTGTG